CACGTTCCACTCGTGGAGCTATGCAAACAGCCTTTTGTATTGTTTTGCCTCAGAAATAGGAAAAAGACGTGATCAATTATCTTTCTCATAACCTTGCAAAACCTAAAGCCTGTCGTGGAAGAGAAAGAGACTAGCTATGGCTCAGTGGGAGAAAGTCCTCAGAACAGAGCCCAGGTGGCTCCGTGGCCTGTCCTCTATTTTCCCAAGGATACGGGAAGACTACCCATTAAGCTGAATGACCAAAGAGAACCTGACTGAGAAGAGAGGACGCTTGGGGCTTTCAGGGAAACGACTGGAAACCAAAAGCACTAAGGCCATGAGACAGCTCGAATGGCACAGCAAGGGACCCAGAGGATGCCACCCAGTGTGAGGAGCCACAGCAATGGCTCCCACGTGGCTGGGCCAAACAGGAGTGGTGGAGGAACAGAAGCAGATGGATATCTGGAAACCAGAGGCCAGGCTCAGGGTGGCTCAGCCAAGGAAGGAGAGGAAGAAGGCTGACCAGGAAGACCGCTCCTGGAATGCACAAGCATCAGGTCAACAGGATTTAGATATCTCTTTGTGTTAGAAGTTGGTCCCGCCAGAATTTCTGGAGGGAAGTTCATCCTTCTGGAGCTGCACCGTCCGATGCAATAGTCACAACTTCATGTGGCAAAACTTAAATTTAATTCATTAAAACGTAAAATCTAGTGCTTTCGTGACACGAGCCACCTTTCAAGTATTCAGTAACACATTTCAAGTGGCTAGTAACTCCCATCCTGGCCAGCACAGATACAGACCATTCCATGATCACAGAAAGTTCTACTGGACAGCACTGTACAAGAGCACTGTGCAAAAATGAGAAAAAAGTCACTACCCCCATGCGGCCCCACCACCTTCTCCCAGACTTACTAAGGGTGACAATGGACAGATCACCTAACCGTCTCTGTGTCTGTTTCCCCATCTATAAAACAGGAGAAGTTATACCCCCTACTTAAGACATAGGTTAAAAGGACTCCATTATTTAATATACAAATGTCACATAGAACCTGACTCATTATAACAAACGTTAGCTAATATCTATTGTGGTTGCATGATATACATTACAAAATAACACCTGAAGACATATTTGAGAGGTAGTGCATCTTTGTTAAGAGACATCTTTTAGACACACATAACCCAAAGTATCTAGGGTGAAAGATTAAAATAAGTAATCATTTAAAAAGTGGCCACTGAAGGGAAGGGTCTCAATCTAAACAAGCAACAATGGTTATTATGGAGCCTGGAGCTTCTGTGCAGACTTCTTACTACCTAACAATTGAAAGGAAGTGAAAAGAGCTCAGAGGAACCCCTGATCACACAGGACAGGTGTGCCAGAGTGTGCACCGTGTCCAGGAAGGCTCTTCCGGGAACCTCCCCCAAACCCTACTACGTGTTTGAAATGGCAGAGACCTAACAATGGGAAAGTAAGCCCAGACACCTTTAGAAAAAAATAGAATTGAATGCCTTCCAAAGAAAATAATCATTAGGAGTAATAAAACCACATGGAAATTTTAACTCTACCTGCTTACCCAAAGCATTTCCAGGCTTTCGTTTTAAGACACAGATAACACGTTTGTAAAGCAAAGAACCTCATGACCCAGCATTTGTTATTCTGAGTTGAGAGACACGATATTAGAAAATGGACATAAGTCTTAAGTTATGTTTACTACATCAAAACAAGTAACCTAATAATGTTAGGATAGAGGTTATTTGAAAGCTCTCACGTCTGGTGAAAATGCACTTTTTTTTTTTTTTTTACCCTTAATATAAAGAAAACTTTAGTTGTGGTTACCAATAATTTGATTCAGCTTTTCTACTTTTTAATAAGTCATTTTAAATATTTACTGTTTATTGTGCATTCAAAATTTCAAGCACCACAGGTAACCGAAATTTTAAGCCTCAATTATAAAGGTAAGGACTACTGAATTCAGTCATTTCATTACAAATTAACAGGCATCCCCCCTCCAAATTTTATGTTTAGTATAACAAGTAAAAAGCAATTCAATTATTTATAAATATCTGACTATGTTTTTTAAAAAAGCTTAGTCTTAGCCAAAAAGTAAACTTTCCCTTGATTTGTAAAACGTGGATGTCATAATTAACCAGTTGAATAGATTTGCTAATTTAAGTGATTTATCTGATTTTAATATACTCAGAACTTAGGTTTTTTTTGTTTGTTTATTAGTTTTGTTTTATTTTTTTTGTCCTCTGAAAGATATATGTTCTTGCTAAATACTTAATCAAGGCAGCCTGAAAATCATGAATGGACAGTTTAGAAATTTTTAGCCCCAAAGCTATCATTTGTTAAAAACTCAAGCTCTTTGACTTGATTAGTTAACTAGGAAACAAATATCTATGTTTATCTATATATAGATATATATAGATATTCCATTGATATGTTTGATTCCTTTGCTCTCTTTAGGGTATGAGCAAGGCTAAGTTACTAATGTTATTTACTAGGAGCGAAAACCAAGATAAAAGACTTGGCAAAATATTTAATTTATAACATATACACACACACAGAGAAATTCATTACCTTTTTTTTTTTTAAAGATTTTATTTATTTATTTATTTGAGACAGAGAGAATGAGAGAGAGAGAGCACATGAGAGGGGGGAGGGTCAGAGGCAGAAGCAGGCTCCCTGCCAAGCAGGGAGCCCGATGCGGGACTCGATCCAGGGACTCCAGGATCATGACCTGAGCCGAAGGCAGTCGCTTAACCAACTGAGCCACCCAGGCGCCCTTCATTACCTTTTATATGACAAGATTAAAGTGGCATTTCTTTTGCCCTAAACACTCTCTGAGGTTGATTGAATTGTTCACTCCTTTAGCAAAGATGTACTCTGTGGCTGTACCATGTCCACCTCAAGGTGGACACCTCAGGGTATCAGGGTATGCAGGAACATGGTATTTATATTTGTAACATTTGTGCATCTGAGTGGGTCTTACCCTAATTTTTCAGTGACATCATTACCTTTACTTTTATTCTCCCTCACTCAATTTGGCCTGATCTTCTTTTTAATGAAGAAAATGATAATAAATATTGAAACAGGGAAATATTAACATATAAAATAAGTAATAAAGGCAGAATTATTGAGATTGCTTCCCCTTGGTTGCTTCCAGTGTCATAGGGGTAAACACCTGTTTCAGAAGTTGGGGAAAATTACTACCTAGAGAAAAATAATAATTCTAGATATCCATGCAAAATTATGAAATAGAAAAACTATTATCAGATAATCTTAGCTGGTGGATTTTTAAAATAAAAAAATATTTAGGGGTGACAGGACCTTCATCCTATTTTTTAAATTAAAAGGTTAGATTTTTTAAATAAAAATGTTTAATAAAACAAGCTTAGATAAGCATACTAACTAAAAAAAGACACTAGAGCTCATAGGACCTTCATCTTCTGCTCTGATCCTCCAGAAATTATTCTGAGGTTATATTCTCTAGATTCAAAGGATGAAGGAGAAGGAGGAACTTATTGAAAATGATTTACTCATCTCTCAGAATCTGTGACATTTCACTCAGATTTTCACCGAGATTTGGGAAAAGAAGAACTTTTGAGAGAGGGGTAGCAACTTCATCATCTATTTTCCTCTTGGGCACCGTCGCATTTTTCACTACTCTGTTCACTGATCCTAGATCTACAAGTCTGCTCTAAGGAATCCTTTTACACCCAACAGCACAAAACCTACGTCTGAAAATGCACCTTTTTACAATCAACAGGGATTGAAAAACACCGGTTGAGATGCTATAGTTAACTCAACATTCAATGTAACCCAGGGTTCAAAGGTCAGCCAGTTTCAATCCAAATGTAAAGCTCAGGATGCTAAATGGCCCCACTTACTGAACACAACCAGCAGAGAAAAGCCATCAACCAGGAAGTACTTGCAGAATGCATAATGCTTTGTTTCCTGCTGTTTGTAGATCATTGATCAAAAATCTACGAATGACAAGACTTAGCTTTAAATAACGGCCATCTCTAGGGGAAAAGGACTTCTCTTTTAGAAGTCACTTTAAGTCAAAAGAAAAATCTTTTGTTCCTTTTCTAATAGGCAGTCTTTGATGCTTTATTTAGAACAAAATGATATATCCATTATCCACAACGAGAGTAACATCTTCAAAAGGTCAGAGAATAAAGCAAATGGATGTATAGCTCTGAACACGCTCACAAAAAAGAAAGGTCTGAGAATATCCAAGACTCTGAAATATGCCCTCCTGAAACACACCACTTCTTAACAAATAGCGGGTAAGATGAATATATTTAAAATGCTCCCGGGAATACCATACACCCAACATGGAGACTAATAATAGTGCTTGCATTGTCAAAAGAATGTGCAGAACCCTGGTTTGGAAAGGAACTGCCACCATGGAGCGTGCTTACTGGAGGCGCTACTTCTTGACTAGCCACGGCAATATTCATTTTAAGAGAAGGAAGCCCCAGTAAAAGGTAGCATTAACATTTTCTCTTATCACTCCTTTATTTTTAAATCTTTAGTAGAGCATTGATTCTTTTTAATTCATCCAAATACACCTTAATAATTCAATTCTTTCAATGAAATACAATAAACACGAATTACACAAAACGACATTTATTAAATTCTAATTATTAGAACCTACTCCTTTTAGCTCAGTGAGACATGAGCCAAGAATTCTGTCATGGTGTCCAAATCTTCACTAGCAATGAGCTAAAAGAATTTATCCAAAAAGAATGTGTTTTAAAAACACAAATCTTTAGGGCACCTGGGTGGCTCAGTCAGTTAAGTATCTGCCTTCGGCTCAGGTCAGGATCCTGGGGTCCTGGGATTGAGTCCCGCATAGGGTTCCCTGCTCAGTGGGGAGCCTGCTTCTCCCTCTCCCTCTGCCCCTCTCCCCCACTTGTGTGTGCATGCTCTCTCTCTCAAATAAATAAATAAACTCTTGAAACAAGCAAACAAACAAACCAGAGATCTACAACTTCACTAGGCATCAGATATCTACCTTAGACAACTCCATTCCTGGCCCACATTGCTTGCAGAGAACACAATTTCCAGACCGATCCCTGAATTCTTGCTGTCGACAGTCTCCTGTTTCACAAATCACTTTACATGCCTGAAAAAAAAGTTTTGCAAAAACCTTATTTTTAAAGTAAGTTAATTACTTTTTTTTTTTTTTTTGCAAGAAAGGAACAACATCATCGGTATTCACTCGATCACTGAATGTCAATGTTAATTCAGAGTGAGGCCAATTTAATGTTCATTTTAGGAAGAAAAATTACTTTCTGAATAAGTCAGTGGAGCAAATAAATCAATAAGCCTGATTCTCCTCTGCATTCCCTGAATGAGGTCTCCTTTTTTTTTAAATTCATGGCTATCTTGCTTTGAAACTTTTCTGAGAGCCCAAGGTAGAAAATGACTTAGGATCTGATCTCTTTTCTAGTAAGAAGCAGTGGGTGAGCAAGCTATTGCTCTGTAGAATGGTTATTACAGCAGAGGCACAGGAAACTGTTTTTGATGGTTGTAATGATGAGTACTCAATGTATTATTCAATACAAACTACCTCCACCTTGAAGCAGGAGTGTCTGTAATCAAGTCCTGCAAACAAACTAAATAAAATCAAAGTCTGAACATCTCCAGCAGGCGTGCGGGAGAATTCAGGGTGGGATTCAGGACTAGAAAAAGATCTGGGGCTAAAGGCCTAATAATCTCTTCCTGCCCCTCTTAGCTCCCCTTGACTACCCATCTTAAGAGAGGTAGGTAGGAGATTCCATTCAGCCACAAAGAGACTGTAATCTCTCTGAGAAAGAAATTCCACTACCTCCCTCCTAGACCATTCATTTGAACGTGTCACAGCCTCAGTTGAAAGAAAGGACATTTTCTCTCCTCTACCTGAATCTCAGACTCCAATGTGACCCCATCTCCTCTTATTCTGTCTTTCAGGAAGACTTCAGATACTGTCTCTAGCATAAATAATTCATTTTACATTTGCGGATGACGATCCTATCTCCAGATTAAATAAATTTCAATTCTTTTGAACACCTTCATAGATCTTATTGTGTCAAGCTTTCAAACATTAAAATTCTCCATCTGTCTTTAATGCTTTTTGGAACCAAAAAGGATATAAATAACCATATAAGAAGAATAGCTCTTTTAAAAATCGATTCTAATTTCTTCACAAACCATGTAAGTCACAAACCAAGTAAGCTCCAAAGAGAATCTGGTCTCGTTAGGGCCTAGGGTGTATTATAGAGACATATGCCTATATGCCCAAGGGAGCACGATTGTCATGGGGCTCTGAGTAACACTGTGATTTTATTACTTCATCAAATGTAAATAAAATAATTTCAACAATTGCTACAAATGTCAAGACTCAGCAGCAATCTTTGCCTTTTAATGAAATGCAACATTGATAAAATACAATTTGAGAGAAAAATTTAAAAGATGGGATTAGAAATAGAAGATAGTTTCAGCGCGTACTTAGATGACTCCTTCCACCACATTCTTATGAAAGTGCAGACTTGACTTACCAAATAGGCCAGTAAAACTACAATGGTGTGAAATGCTTTCTCTTGTTCCAGGAGCACTTTTAAAGCCATGGCTCTTATTACGTGTATTTATTGTTGAAGAGTTTTCTAAAAGACAAGAAGATCTAGTTAACCAGGATGACATCGGTCACTGTGTTCTGTATTTACTCTAGAATGTTTACCATTAATGTTTATACTAGGTCATACTATTTATGCCTTAAAGGAAATCGCTTTGTAAAAGATAATTTGACAAATAATAGGTAAGCCTTTCACAGTTTAGGTGAGGAGACTGGAAGCTCTGTCTCCCTACACATTATATGCAAAACTCCTACTGGCTCTGAATTCCTAGGCTATACCTAACTTTATTTTCTTCTTCTTCTTTTTTTAAAGATCTTACTTTTTAAAGTAATCTCTACACCCAACGTGGGGTTCAAACTCACAACCCGGAGATCGAGAGTGGCATGCTCTCCGGACTGAACCAGCCAGGTTCCCCTACACATGCCTTTATTTTCTACCCAGGTCTCTAGAGTGTCCGACCGCTCCACCCGGTAGAGAGTTATAGTCGAACAGTGACTATATAAACCTTCCATGTAGATGGATTTAGTGCCAAGAGGCCAATAACGGTAATAAAATAGCAATGAACATGTGCTACATACTGTGTGCCAGGCACTGGCTCCAGCGAATTGACTCATTTACCTTCACAAGTACTCTAGAAGGGAGACACTATCATTATCTCCATTGTAGAGATGGGGAAACAGGCTCAGAGAGGGCTGAGTCCCTTGCTCAAGTTCACACTAGTAAGAGACAGAGCAGGATGCACACCCAGGTGGGTTGGCTCCAGTGACCCCGAGGCATGTATACCCTGCAACACAATCTGCTCTGTTTAATAAAGACCTTACACTCGGATCTTGGGCCTACAGCCCCACTGAGAAGCAGATATGGCTAATGTTTGGCATTTGTGAGTTCTTCCTCCAACCAGTACAGTGAAAATAATCTATGAGCAGAAAAATGAGCATTTATTTGAAAACATTTAAAAATCATTTACAAATGATGAAATTGGAGGCATTCACCTTTCCATAAAAGGTAAGCCAAACCTCCTTATCTTTCCAAGAATGACCTAAAATGTAGAAACAAACACGGTTGCCTTTTTTTTTTTTCAGATCCACACAATGTCCTGAGAAGAGATTAATTTTAAAAAGAGAAAAAAAGAGAAAGAAAAAAAAGGTGTGTGTGTGGGGGGGGGAGACTCAGCTGGTGGCTCCATCTATTAGGTAGAGAAACAAGGGATCAGTTTCTCTTCAAAGTTGAATCTTCCAAAACTAACAGAGACCCAGAGCAGACAATGTGACTGCTTAGAAAGAAACCAGAGCAGAGAACCAGAACTGTGGGCCAAAGACCTTAAGAAAAACAATAGCAATTAACAACAAAGGAAGCAGGGCAGGCGGGGGTGAGCCTGAACACAGCCTGGAGACAGACAACCCAGAAGGCTATTCCAGGTGCCGGAGTAGCTCCAATCAGCAGCGCAAGGAAAAATCATTTTTATGTTTGTTGAATGAATGACCCATTTTGACTGAATTCAAAGGGATTTTTGTTGTTGTTGTTGTTGTTTGTTTTACTTTTCCGGCTTCTTGGTCATAGCTTCTTTTTCCTCCTTGCCCATCTCAAAATAACCCAGCCATTACCCAACCACGCAGCTTCCTGCTTGTGCAGACACAGGATTGGGATGAGTAGATAAAATCACATTTCCCGAAAGGTATGCTTGGGGTTATCTCTTTATCGACATGGTCTTAATTTTTAAAAATGTGCTGATTTTTAAAAGAAAAACATAAAATCTGTTGGATTAAGCTAATAGGGAAAAGAGGGTATAAATACCAAAGCATTTACACAAAATATGAGAAAAAGAGATTGATAGAGCAGGGCATACCACTATCAAGTAACTAGTTCGGACGGACCACTACACTGGGATTCTGTACTAATTACTGCAGAAGGCACACAAATGCTGTAGCATCTTCTTGTAGAGGCAATCACTACCATGCACATCAAGTTAGAAGTTGTGGCAATATGATTTTGACTTCAGAAGATACACCTGTTTTATGTACAAAAATAAATAATTCAGAGTACTATCAGTGGTTAGGTTCATATTGGGGCATCCTGGATAACTTTTTTCTCCTCTTTTTCCTAAAAGTTCTTTCTAATGTAAGTATTTCATTTATAATGGAAAAAAAAATACATGTGTAATGTTCTTGAAGCAAAAAGGTAAATTACATAGTCCTCCTTGAAAAGTCTATAAATTATGGGGCACCTGGGTGGCTCAGATGGTTAAGCGTCTGCCTTTGGCTCAGGTCATGATCTCCAGGTCCTGGGATGGAACCCCATGGCGGGTTCCCAGCCCAGCAGGGAGTCTGCTTCTCCCTCTCCCTCTGCCTCTCCCCCTGGTTGTGCTCTCTCTTTCTCTCAAACGAATAAATAAAAATAAAGTCTATAAATTAAAAGAGGTGATGAGATAAAAACCACATAAACACTATTAAAGAAAAAAGAAAAATAAAGTACTATGATTTTTTGCATCAGAAGGAGATCTTTTTTTAGATGACAGGGCAGAAAAAAACTAAATGGAACTATATCCTATGTGCTGACTTGTCTTATTCTCTCAACACACATGATAAATTGAATAGTTTGAGCGGGTTTCTCTTTGCAAATTATCCTTTAAATTCCTTAGCCTGGAACCTGTGCCCTTTATAACCTCACCTGCTAGCACCCCACCCCCACCCCAGTGTCATCCCTAGTTACTGCTCTCATGCCCATCCAGCTCTGCCATAGCCTGATGCCGATAATTCTCCTAAACACCCATGGTCTTGCCCTCTTGCACAGACTGTAACCTTGGTCTCGAGAGCATTTCTTGCTAAATCCCTCCAAGAACCTGCTCAACTTTCACTCTGCTGGGATGCTGTCCACGACCAAGCACACTAAAGAGGTTTGCTCCCTATGGCCCGATAGGCCTTTCTACATTCACGCGCAGCATCAATCATATGGCATAGCAATTATGCTTATTGGTATACGAGTTTTACTCACCAGACTGTATGTTCCTTTAAAATAGGGACCTCACCTTATTACTCTTTGTATTCCCAGTGTCTAGCATAGTACCTGGCTCATATAGGCACATAAATGTTTGCTGAATTAATTTAGTGAATAAAGAAGCACAAAACAATGAAGAATATATTGTGGAAAGCAAGTGAGATTTGGTTGCACATAACTGACTTAGTTCTTCTGTAGTGAATAAGAATAAACATTCTATCTCAGATATATCTTATTACCATGTCATTATATCTACAAGTCATTATATCTACATGGCATTAAGTGCTTTGGACTAGAAGACAGGATTGAATGATATGGAGATGTATTTTTAAAAATCCTAATTCACTTTTTCAAAATGTGAGTTTTGGGGCACCTGGGTGGCTCAGACGGTTGAGCGTCTGCCTTCGGCTCAGGTCATGATCCCAGGGTCCTGGGATCGAGCCCCACATCGGGCTCCCTGCTCAGCGGGAAGCCTGCTTCTCCCTCTCTTGCTCCCCCCTGCTTGTGTTCCTCTCTGGATGTCTCTTTCTCTGTCAAAAATAAATAAAATCTTTAAAAAAAATAACTAAAAATGTGAGATTTTTACAGAAGATTTCTTATCCTGGGAGCTAGAGATCAAAAATGCACCACTGGAATATGTCACTTCTCTTTTCTGTGACTTCTCTCTTCGTCTAGCTTTTTTATACCAAGAGGCTGGGAAATAATTTAGCCTGGGTAGATTGTCCTGACAGCAGATGGGATGATCTAAAGTCCAAGTTCAAATACTTTTCTGCATGTAAACCCAATATGGGTAAAAAGAGCCTGGCTCTTCGGGGAAACTGTCAGGGGAAAATCTCAACTAGAACACCTAGGTTTTCAGCCCCATTTCTTAGCAATGTCACTTTGAAACTACACATCTGTCAAGACAATGATAGAACCTATCTCACAGGGCTGTTGTGAGGATTACCTGAGATAATGCACATCAAGTGCTTAGCCCGGTGCCTAGAACACTTAACGGATGACAGGGGCCAATGTGGTTACTGTGGCAGTTGCTATTGAGAATGCCACCTACTGGCGTGTGACCTTGGCCAAGTTACCTAACCGGAGCCTCAATTTCCTCATCTCTACATTAAGCATTGTGATAATACCTGCCTCTGGAAATTGCTGTGAGGAATAAGTGAATTTAACAGCACTTATAAAGCACTGCTAAGAGGGTGAATTGACCCAAACTGTTTCTGGTACATAATCAGGGCTACATAAGTGTTGGCAATGATTATTATTGTAGTTAATGACATTGGCATTGAAAATCAAAATAATTCAATGTATGTGACGGTCCTTGAAGACTGTAACTTGTTAGACCAACAGGAGACATTACTCACACAGTCACAATCCAGTGGCCGGTAACGTTTTAGACCTCTGGACCTACAGCTGTGCAGAAAACATTCAAAGATGAAGAATCAATTCAAAGCCTGAACTAAGCATTTATATGTTGAGCACTGTGTGAAGGCTTTATAAAAAGTATAATTTTTTTCCTTACTACCACACTCTAAAGTAGATATTCATTTCCATCCAATGCGAGAGAAAACTGGGGGTCAAAGGACACGTAATGGAAACGGTGAAAACCAAATCAAATCCATGCCTAGTAACTCCAAAATGGGGCGCTCAGGCATTCTGCAAGGTTGACTTAGGGTTGTATGATCCTAGGCTGCAGCATCCAATGGCCCATGTCACAGGAGGATGACGGGAACAAAAACGACCAACAAAAACAAAACTACATAACAAAATAATACGTTTAGTGATTTATCCATTTATTCAACACACTTTGATTAAGCAGTGATTAGGTGCTTGAAAGGAGGCAGTATCAAGTGGGGCAGGGCACTACAAAGATGTACTTGGAGGGAGCTCACAGCTTAGCAGGGGTGGCGGCATCTCCTCAATACCTTTGAATATAGCCTGGCAAAGAGGTATTTAGAAACAAACAATTTAGCTGGTGGAGTGTTTTAAGTGTGACCTTGCATTTCCTGGAAGAAAAGGAAATAACCTTGTGAAACGCTTTG